ATTACCCCTTTTTTATTAATTTTACAGTATACTATCTTCTTTATCTTTACTATTATAGTTAATTAAGCTTTAATAATACCTTCTTAGCTTACTACTTAATAGCCTTAAACTACTTATTATATAAGCTACTATAAATAGCTATAATAAATTCTATTTCCTTAGGCTTAGAATCTATCTCTTTAAGTAACTTCTTTTTAAGCTTATTAAGTACCTTAATCTTATGCCTAAGAAAGCCTTTATTAACTAGCTTATCTTAAATATTAAGACTATATAAGCTTAAGGATCTTATAACTAAAAAATACCTACTAAATATTAATAATATTATATAAATAGAACTAGTTATTTATAATTTTTAAGGCCTTATTATATAGCTTATTGTAATTATTTCTATAAAGGGCTTAGTTAATTGTTTTATTCCTGATTATATTAAGGCTTCCTTTTATTAGATATAAATAGCTAGGACTAGGCCTTTATAAGCTTTTTCTAAGTATTATAATAGTATAGCTATAAGGTTATTAGTAGCTATAATTAGAAGGTATAGAGGTTAGATTAGATAACTTACTATTAGAGTATATTAGATAATTAAAGTATAGTATTCTTTTAAAGTAGGTTATAGGAAGAAGATTTAGGCTAGCTAAAGAGTAAATAAGGCTTCTAAGCTGGCCTATTTATAATAAGGTTTAGGCTATAAATAAGGCTACTAACTTAATAATATTAACTTAATAAAGCTTTGCCCCCTAAGAGGTAATTAATATTTAAATTATACTAGACTTTAAAGATACTTAGATATACCTTTTAAGGCTAACTTATAAACTTAAAAAAATATATATATAAACTGAATTATATATATTTAAAGGTTATAAGTAACTTTATAAGTTATTATATTACTATATTAGCTTAATTATATAGTAGTTTAATTATAATACTTACTTAAATATAGTAATATATTTCTATTAAGGTAATATATTACTAATAAAAAGATTAAGTATTTAAAATAATATTAAATAGCTTTAATTAATAGAAAATACTAATATAAATAGCCTTACTTTCTTATATACTTATAGATTTAGAGGGACCCGGTGCAGAGGTTACGTGCTAGTAGGCGCATCGGGGTCAGCGCAGGTATAGGTTGCCTATTCTAGTTTGTGTATGATCTAAGCAAACAAGAAATGACAACAAAGCTCGGAAACCAAGAGACAAGATACAGTATTTGCTTTTGGTATTGTTTGTGTGACAAGCTGAAGGACACACACAGCAAAACAAGGCAGAAGAAACCTGAGTGAGCACGGCTGGGTGCTTACCACACACGAACAATACAGGCAGGGAGATCCTTGAGTATCTACTGGCCCAAATGGATTGCCCTGGATGCAGCCTGCAGGCTTTCGGAATGCATAGTGTCCGTTCCTGGTATCAGCCATTGGCCATTCGCCCATGGAACAATGCCTATTTTGGTTTCTCTGCGGATAGCCACGATAGTCCACGACGTGTCTTCCCATGAGGTTCTACCAAGGCGCTTCGTGGTATCACGATTACGAAATGTCTGCTGTTGGGCTCTACCAGACTTACACGGCATGAATCACGAGAAAAGGCCTCGGTAACGGGAATCAAAGTCAGAGAGAGCATCGCGGCCTTTGCGCGACGTTTGTTTTGCAAGCCATTGTGCGTGCCAAGTATCTCCTATAATGCTCGGCTATACATACCTCCCAGACTGGGATAGACATGACTGGCCGCCTTGTTCCATGCTGAGGCGTCATCTATCGGGTTTGTTAGAAACACTCTCCCTGCAGGGTTTATTTGGGTGTGAGGTATTATACATACCTAGATGTTTTTGACACACCACACACCACCACCCGATATTCCTACTTAAAGGTATCGGATTGCACTTCCACTTCCACTCCCGATTTTACAAAGTTCATATCCAACACGCCATCACCTCTATTCAGCACTTTGAGCAGTCCTTTACCAATACCTTTCTCCATCAATGACCCTGTTGCGTCGAGCCTGTCAGGACCCAGCACTTCCACCTCAGTCAGATATGACTCCTCATCTTATGGATCCCAAGGGTTTTATTCTGCGTGAGTCTGAGACCTTGTCTCTCTGATAGCTTATGTTCCGAATACGTTACTGACTTGACCCGACTAAAGAGAACTGCCTTGTGTCCACCCAAGGCTCGGATGCTGACTTTCAAGTCCTGACTCGGATCGACCTAAGTCGTCAGTGGTATGCTTTCGTTCTCAAGACAGAAGGCGGGAAACGCACCAAATATCTTGAGGAGAAGGCTCCTCGACTTGAGCGTGCACTCGAATTGCTCCACGAGGCCTCGGCTCGTTTGGTAGATCAGTATGTGACCTGTTACGGCTACGATCTTCCTCCTGGTGCCACCAAGAGCTCATCTGGTATGCGCGGTAGTTCAGTGAAACCAGATGTCATTGCTTGTAGCTCCTCTGACAGCGAAGCCTTTGCCTCGGACTCTGACGATTCTGCACTTCCTCCCCGTCGCTCCCACCGACGAAGCCATCGCAGTGGCAGGGTGGGTGGCGAAGCAGCCAACACACGACCGGACCGAGTAGAGGCAGATTCAGGTAGCGAGAGTGATGAGCCTACTAGTCGCCGTGCCCCTTTTTGGGTATCTCCTCCTCGTCCAGCAGGAATGCCATCTCACGGCCAGCCCCCTGCCCCTCAGCCATGGGGCTATTCGATGCCAATGCAGGCACAGGCACAAGCACCGGCACCAGTCACTGCCCCTATTCCAGGCATTCGACCAGGTCCCTCGATGGTTCCTCCACCACCAGGTAGAAACATTCCTATTCCGCCCATGGTTGGCAAGTCGTATCCTGCACGTCTCAACATCACGTGGGCAGGCAATGGAAAGAGGAACATGCTAGTCAACGTCTCGCCAACTGTTCACTACTTGCAGCAAGTTGCAGTCAACGAGGCAAACATGCGCCCTACGGGGTTTGCCAACTCATCTCCGGCGCCATACCTCCCTCTGCCGAATCGTTCTAGCAATGGTCACGCTGTTCTCAGAGCCATGGTACGCCGTGTCACGCTGGACGAGGATGAGACGTATGAGATTGCGGCTTTTGGAAATGACTTGTCTGCCTTGTTCCGCAGTACTTCGAGCATCCCCAAGTTCGAAATCGAAATCATCAATGCCAATGTTGTCCCCATGTTTCCACCAATGCCTCCTCCGCGTCCTGCCTCGGTTGCCTCCTCGCGAAGCAGCCTCGAAATTGCGGACTAGATCATGAAATTTCTTTGCACCACTCACAAGCACTGAGGATAGTACCACATAGTCTTTACAAAGGGTGATCATGTATCAGTGAGCATACGGCTAAGGCGAAACGGCTCGAATAGGGGTGTTCAACTACGTAGGGTATTGAGACGGGAGTCTTGGATGACAAGAGGTGTCTGCCAGTTAACAAACTGTGCACATTGGGTCAACTGGCGTGTTATTGAGTTAGGTTTGTTTTATTTCTCAGCCATTCTTCGCCAAACTTGCATGTCAACACTAGAATTGTACTTTGTGAATAGACTTGTCGTTGTTGTACTTGACTAAACTGCAACGGTTACATATTAAGCATCTGGCCGTCTGTGTCTAGTAGTTAGAGGGAACCTTACTGTGCGTTCTGCAGATTCGAACCGTTACCCCTGATACTTGCACTTGTGTTACTGCAGGCCTGTGCGAATATAATGACGAGTAATATTCGAGGTCGATAATCTGATGCTGCGTCTAGATCCAAGCTCCTATTGGCAGGATAATTCAAAGCACACGGGTAACCATAAGTCGAGTCACTAAGACCTAGCTCAGCTCCCGCCTCACTTTATTGGCACACGACGGCAATTACTCCGTCTTTACCACTGCAACGCACTATAATTGATGATCATGGCCTCATGGAGATGGTAGAATCAACGGTAACTAATCGATGCTAGGGGGACATTCGATAAGGGGGCAAATCGTTGAATGAGGCGGTAAAGAACGTGTGGCTGATATGCAATCTAATGCAGCTTCAAGCAGGGATTCGAGCACGGGAAACAGGGATTCTTCAAGTTAGTGAAGACGAATATCATGACTACTCTTGAAGATATCACAAGATAGAAAATGCAATGTATGTCACAAATTTGGGTGAAGACGAAGGGTGTTAGGGTGTCACCATGTTGTTGTTGGTGTTATTGTTGTTGATGCCGTTAGATTCGAGAACAGCTCATCTCCGTAGTGGCTGACCGTATTCTTTCACCGACTGATTATCATGCAAGCATATGCATATAGCGTCCAGCCCATCGGGATGCCGTGTTACTGTGACTTAACATATAGCGTATAGGCAATCGCCTCTAAAGAGAATCCTGAAGCAGTTTGCCAATGTCGATAGCCTCACGGCACATCATGACACGAATTGGAGAGGACTGCATGGGAACAAGGGTATTAACAGGCCAAGTGACTGGTTCAAAGAGGCTCGCCACAGAATAAGCCCTGAAGAGGAGTTGAGGCCCGCAACATGTGCTTGTGCTGTGAGCGCGGCTCACAGCGTTCGGAATCCGACAGCACGGTAAGAGCGGCTATGGAAACGAGGCGAGACGGGTTATGAGTCTAGCTAGACTGGTTATAGACTGTAGATGGAGAGGCAAGGGTGAAGAAGGGAGGGAAGCAAGATCCTGGCGGTGTAGAGTAGTGGGCCTTGTTTGGGCGAGGTTTGAGAGGAAAGGAGCTGTGAGAGGAGAATAGAGTCTAGTGATTATGAAACAATACACCACATTGATGTCACCTTGGCCGTGACAAGGCGTGTTAGCCTTCCACAAAGACTGGAAGTGAAGATTGACTGCCTGGACGTTGTGTAAGAATGGTATAGGGGGCTCCGACTAACACCATGCACTTCTCGGTCTACACAGCCAACTGTATTGCATAGCACTGTAGTGTACTGTAGTGTGGTGTCAGCCCATAACTTAATTCTAGAGCAGTCTGTTTGTATACTGTGTTGTTCCACTGCTTTTATCTACCACAGATGACCTTTCACCTGGAACCTGTGACAGCATCCGTCTGTACTCCACGCCTTATACCCATCACTCCCTCTTCCTCTCTCCCAAGGCTGCAAACGCCCTGGAAACCTGCAGCCAACTATCATGCAGCAGTACTACATCCTCAAGTTAGCCCAAGGGCCTGAATTTGGCAGTCTAACTCACCGAGAGGTACAATGGCCCAAGGCAAGTTGAAACCAACATAATAGATCCAAAAGTACACAGTCTCCGGGCGGCTGTACGCCAAGCCATGCACTCTCGACTCATTCCAGTTGGTCAGGTAATATAACGCAACGCCGTACACATGTGCAGTACAGACGATGACCTGCACGACGTGACGACTGTGCCAATCCCTAAGTATACCTACCACGGCGAGGAATGAGAGGGGTCCCCAGGCGAGCTGTAGATGTAGAGGCCGTGTAAGCCAGTGAAGTGAGAGGAGCATGCCCAACTTACACATGTGATGGTCTCCACGCTCACGGTGAAGATGTCGTGGGTCAGGTAGCGTGAGTCTGATAGAGTGTATTCCTTCCACAGCTGGGCGAAGAGGGTCGACATGCCAGGGAGCTGATAGCGGTAGACAAGATAGTATCCTTGACAAGTAAGCACGCATCCTGACGTTGTGACTGGGGGTCATTCTCTCTGCCTCACCTTCAAAGGCAACATGCAAGAAACCGCCTGCGATCAACTCCCAGTTAGTCTTTTCATCTTCCTCTTTTGTTCAAGTGCATAACTTGACTTACACAGCGCAAACCAAGCAGCAGCAAACTTATCGATGGGCCGCACAGGCTTTGCAGTACGTGTCGTTTGCCAAAGTGTGAGGCCAATCACAGCACCGATGATTGCACCAAAGGTCACTATCAACTCTGCCACTGGTGTGCTGTTGGGGAGATATCCTGGTATAACGGCGTCGACCGGAAAGTATGGATGTTTGAGGTCAGCCATTATTGTGCAACTTTGGGACAATCTGTGATCATGAGCAGATAGGAGAGTCGACGAGTAGGACTTCTTAGAGACCAAATAGATTTGAGCTCTAAACAGTGTAAACTCAATGGACTTGTGTGATCAGAATAGGTACCTAGGTAGGTAAATATTGAACAGACAGGCACACGGTTCTTTGGTGATGGTTTAATTAACCCCTTGTTCATCACGTGATGGCATCAACCACATGCAATTTCATTCTATCTCTTGAACATATGAATTTTGACATAGCTATGAGGTAGTATCAGTCGATATCTTGCAGAGTCGTATTTGTTGTAACTGCCGGAGCTGGGCGATATTTCATGTGTTCCGACTCATTCAAATCTGGCTTGAACCCCTGCAAACGTAGGCCAACCCAAGATCCCTCCAATAATATACAGAAACTTGTGAACAACACACTCAATCAAATTCTCAATAGTATACATCCCCCTTCATGAGTATCCTGGCCGTCCGTAAGAGTTGCGCAGACTCAATCTTCCCATCTCGAATGACAGTCCCAATGTCAACTTTGCCACTCGGATGTCCAATACAAACCGTCTCCTTTGACTGACCCCCTATCAGATCAGACGCAAGTGTCCCTTTGAGTTGGGAAGCAGCGCCGAGGCAGAGTGCTAGAGTCAACGGCACAGCCTTGTGTGCCTGGCCCATAGACAAAGCAAGGCATCTGATATCAATGTCTGGCGAGCCACTTGAGGGGAACAAAAGGACAATCTTGGGAACACTCTCCGTGTTAGGATCGAGGCCCATGAGACTCGCGCCCGCTCGGCGTATCTCTCCAAGCTTTTTCTTGAGTTCGGGGCTTGACTCGACGATAGCTGGTGTGAGAGACAGGTGATCAGCAAGTCCCAAGCTTTCGGTACCGATGAAAACACCAGGATTTCCCACGTCCACAAGAGATGCCTTGATCTCGGTTCCGTCTTGCAGCTGGAGAACATCCACGGGGTTCCCAGTTGGAAGAGCTTTGCCGGTCTTTGCCCCAGCAGGATCAATGAAGCTCATGATGACCTTGGAGCCTGTTCCTGGGACACCGTCCATGATATACTCTCCTTGATGTGTATACTTGAGAGGTTCGCCCTCAACTCGGAACCTTGAGCTCATAACTTTATTAGTATTGGTATTCAAGAACCGCACAGTGGCCCACAGCAATCCATTCTCATCCTGCTCAACAGTCTTGGCCATGGCCTGAGCCGACAGCAGTCCACTATCCCATGCCGCAGGGCCAACCAAGGACGACATGTTACCGCAGTTCCCAGCCATATCGAGGCTTCCATCGCGTATTCCAACTTGCACAAATGTGAAATCCACATCCACGTCTTCTCTCGAAGGTGATCCAAGGATGACGATCTTTGAGGTCGACGAGATGCCCGAGCCCATGCCATTGAGTTGGCGTCCGTAAGGATCGGGCGAGCCCATTGCTGAAGGGAGTATTTTATGCCATTGAGATTCTGGAGGAAGATCTCTACGATGGATGACAAGACCGTTTGATGTTCCGCCACGCGCAAACGATGCAGGGAAGCTTGAGGCTGGTGTTGAGGTAGTCATCAGGCGGGTTTGGGAGAGCCTGACTGTATGGATGATGTGCCGTGGTAAGGGTTTACAAGATGCCATAGTTGCCATATTCCAGCCGAATAAATCTATAAAAGTTGTTTATAAGTCGACAAGATGTTATGTTATATAAAAAGGTTCAGGCTGCCCGGGGATAGCTCGGAGGTCCGAGAGCGATAGACGCTGAATGTTTAGTGGTTCATACGCTACAACATCACTGCATCTTAGGCACCTTGGCTCCAACTTGGACTTCTAAAAGATTGTATCAATCAATTCCTTGATGCTGCCATAGCCCCAGCATGTATCTATCTGACTGACTGACTGACTGCATAAACGAAACTTACTCTGACAAAGGAACGCAAGACATATCATTAGCCAACAAACAAAGATCCTTGGAGAATAACCCAATCTCATCCTCAGCCTCAGCCTCAGCCTCAGCCTCAGCCTCAGTCTCAGTCTCAGTGCCGCCGTGATCTCTAACTATTAGTCCTTCTCAGTCCAGAATCTCCTCATGATCCGATCAGCATAGTCCTCGTCCATGCCCCAATTGTCAACAGCATCCTCGATCCCATCCTCCATCCGCTCGATATACTCCTCTCGGGGCACGTCCTCCTCAACCCTCATCTCATCAACATACACCAAGGCCCTCAGCGTCTCGTCCCCCTCCTTGTTCGCATTCGCCCACTTGACATCCACCTGGAACTTCTGGTATGCCGATGGAACGCCTTCATATCTGTCCAGGCTCTCTTCGTCTTCTGCCGGGACAAGGTACAGCAGCCCATATACACCCTCCTCGGGCTTCTGCTTCTGCTTCTCTTTGTCTTTGCCCTTTGTGCTCAGCTGGCAGTTGTCTTCAGCTTCTGGCGTTTCATCGTCGTCTGAATCGATGGGGAGCTGCACGATGTTGGCATAGCCGCGTTCGTTGATTATCCATCTCCAGCCCTTGAGATAGGCGAGGCCAACGGGTGTGGAGTATGGGCAGCGCCTACGCATCTGCTTAGTCGAGAGGTTTGATCCGTATGCAAAGTAGAGAACCTCTGACAGGTTCTCCTGCTTGAGCGTCATGGTGCTGTCCTGCGAAGGCTGGCTATCGCCCTGAGAGCTCATGGTTGCTCTGGCTGTTGGTTGGGTTGGCTTATTATATAGCCTCTAGACTAAGCTCGTGTGTTAGTCGAGACTGAGCATCCATGTCCAACAGTTTTCGACCTACCAATAATAAAAGTGACTGCTCGGCCGGCGTAGACTCAGAAAATCAGCGTGAGCTCACGAGATGTCGGCGTGAACTTGTGCCGTCCTCGACTTTCTTGTATGATGAATGGTAGACAACTGAACCGCCTCTGGGCGGCCTGAAGCATCGAGGCAAATGGGACTTTCGAGTGACGGTTGTGGGTTGTGAATAGGCAGCAAGGCGCTTCAAGCCTCCGCCTCGCACCATCTACTACCAAGAAAACATATACATTTCGAGTTTACAACAAGAATCCGAGCGAGCAAACCAAGTCACGTCCGTGAAAATTGGAACTTTGGTACAATCCCTTGTCTTTGTCTTTGTCACAATCCGTGGGCTGTCTGTCTTGTGTCTTGAATTCTTTAGTCTCTTGACTCATATTACTTAGTACTTTCATCTTCTCATCTACCAAACTCCTTGCCCCATGTCTAAAGAGAAAATGCTACCCTTCATCCATCCCAATCCTGATGCAATCCTCTAGTTAGTTCAGGTATTATTAAATCAGAGCGAACGTGGTTCGCAAATCATTCGTCACGCATACGCCACACAGGCATCATCTTGTTTGCAAGTTAAAAACACATTCTGCTTCTCACAGGCCACGCCTACTCATGATTTTAGTAAATCCTCCAAATTCACACCCATCAATAAATAATAGCCTTGCAGCTTCCGTATCCCATCAACAGCAACATTGAGCACTTCGTAATTCGTTCAGCTTTGGACCCCAATGGAGCCTGATAACCCGCCCGTATCACAATTAGGTGATTGGGATCAGGAAGGGGCTGAGTATCAGCTGATCCGCGCTAGGTCGTAGGTTGTGGTCAATTTCAAAGGTTTGCGCAAGGAACTCTTTGGCTGCCTCGCTCGCGTGTTCAGGGATTGTAGGAGCCGCCTTTCCGCCCCCAATCTTGAAGATAGCCTGGAGCTGACTGCAGTCGGGGAAAGGGTGACTACCAGTCATCATCTCCACCACCAAACATCCAAGCGACCAGATATCTGCTTTGCGAGTATACGATGTTTGCTTCACAACTTCAGGCGCCATCCAGAAAACGGATCCTTGCAGTGAAGGCCGGTGCTTGTTGTTGTTGGCCCCGTTTAGAATATTGGAGGCCTCCAGCTTCTTTGAAATCCCGAAATCAGATATCTTGATGGTTCCTTTGTTGTCCACCAGGATGTTGGCTCCCTTGATGTCGCGATGGATAATGTCTCGGTTGTGTAGGTACGAAAGGCCAGTCAGAATCTGTCGAACAAAACTGCGTACCAGCGGCTCTGGGAGCGCACCGTACGAGTTGAGTATCGTCTGAACTGATCCACCAGGCACATACTCGAGGAAAATATTGAGATAATCAGCCGAGGAACTGCAACCAAGATATTGCACAATATTGGGATGTCGAAGATCGCGAAGAAGGCTTATTTCTCGCTTGAGTGCTTCAATCATGCCCTTCTTGCGTGTGTCGCCCTGACTGTTGGCTCCGGGCGCAGGTGTCTCGACCTGTTTCACAGCGAGAAGCTCTCCAGTAACAGCATGGAGAGCCAGGTACACACTGCCGAACGAACCTTGGCCGATCAGCGCACCCTTCATCCATTTGTCGTCGCCCCAGGACTCTCCAGCCAGGAAGCTCTGTAGCTCCTCGTCTACGTCGTCGCCATCATTGGTCAATGCCTGGCGAAGCTCCTGGAACGACCCGGAGCCCGTTGAGTTGTCACCATCATAGTAGCTTGTGGCCGTGGTGTTACCCTCAGGGTCAGTGACACTCAAAGCAGCCGAATCAGAGCCACTTTCAGTAAAAGAGACATAAGACTTGCGATTGGGCTCGAGAGAAGACTCCTCTTGAAGTGTGTCAAGCACCGATGATGTTACTGAATCCCGGTTGTAGGCATTCTGAGGAACACGGATATGGGAGTCCCGAGACTTCACCTTGGCAAGCTGAGAGTTGGCATTAAGCCAAGAATCGGCAATGGTTGGAATAGGAGGCGCATCCTGGATACTAGAGGCAAAGCTGAGGCTGCTAGCAACGCTGAGCCGGCTGTTGACCTTGCTCAAGCGAGTTGACCGTCGCATGGAAAGTCGGGCTGTGCGATCAATATCTTCTCTGGTGTGGTCAGGGAAGTACGAGGTGAGATCAGAAGCAATCAGCTCGCTGGGAGGTCGAAGACCGCCAAACTGTCGCAGGGCTCCGACACGTCGAGCCGGCCG